ATTGAATCCGGCCATTTTGGTGAAGACGAGCGCGCTAACCACTGCGGCGACAGACCCATCATATACGTTACGCACTAGAACAACTATCTGCTTTAGCTTTGAAAATGGCGTCATTGATGCAAAAATTAAATTGTGTATACATTTTTACCAATCATCAACGATGCAAAAAAAACTACATATGGGAGACCGGGGAATGTTGGGCCAACCCTGATATTTCTGTTTTTGAGCTAATATTTACAACTTTAAAGATCTTAGCAGTTTAGATGGCTAGGCATTCACATGAAAAAAAGGCAAGAAATACCTAATGTAAAATTAATAAACAAATTACTTTTGAGAAAGAAAATCATGATTTCGCTTCTAGTGATGCGAACTTTCGCTAAAAAAATACGGTCAAACGTGTAACACACTGACAGCTTCAAGTAATATACGTTGACATAAAAGCAAAGCCAAACACTCACTACCATATTGCTGTACAAGAAGAATTTATTGAAATATCAATTTGGGCTCGGACAGTTTCAGCCATAATACCGTGACAAGTTCGGCCCATGTAACACATAAAAAGTCGAAAAGTTGGCGGTAAAATCTGACGTTGCATGCTTTATAACGTCATAATTAAGCTGCTTCCAATGGGGCAGAACTTACACAAATGCCGACTGGTAAAAATTAATTAATGTTCAAAAACGGGCGTGCTGCCGGACTTTAATAAAAATGGGCCGAATTTGCCCCGATCTCCCCTATTGTTGTGTCGGTCTTAATCTCATTAGAGTTTATGTTTTATTGTTTTCCCTCGACTAGCCGAATTTAAATAAATTTTATCTTGCCTCATTCCAAAAGCAGTATTATCTCATTCTGAATCAGTAAATATCAGAGATCAGCAAAAGCTTCGCTCTTTTAAGGCTTTGCCTTTTCATATTAAACCTGCTCATTATTATACAACACAACATATATATTAACACAACATGCTTTGTGACCATTGATTATAAAAATCTTAGAAGAAAACATATTATACATAACCTTATAAGACTCGAGAATGCTGTTATTTCACCCAAAAAGACTAAAGCCTCCTTATTTCACCCAACTTTTCTTTTCACTATGAGCTCTCCTTCATCATTCATCAGCCATTTTGTAATTTTTGAATTTGGGTGTCAACTATATTTAGACAAGTTACAGAGGATCATGACGTACACCTCTGGCGGTATTCTGGTGACATTCGGGTGATAGGAAATGTGTGCCAGAACATCACCAGAATGTCACCTCTAGCGGCGATACTCCGTGCACTTCTGACAACATGTTCTAGCGACTTTTGCTTAAAAAGTAATTCTTCTGAAGAATGAAAATGCCTAGAGTCATGATATTTGGAAAGAGCCTGGCAAAAGGTTGCGAATTTACATGACATTCATCTACTTTCAAAGTCACAGGGATCAAAATGTCAAAAACTTCAAACGACATCCTTCGAAAAACTGAAAGACAAAAAGTGTTGATATTTAGCTGCATTGTAGCTTCCTTGGATTGAGCCAAACAACGTTTGCGAATGAAAATGACCTCTATCTACTTTCAAGGTCACAGTGGTCAAATATGTCACAAACTGCAAAACAACTCGATATGAAGAAGAGAAAAGCCAAGGTGATAAAATTTGGCCAGTAGCATGCAGAAAGGAAGGGAAATTGCCATGATTTTTGAATAGTTCATGAATGACTTAATTTGACATTTATGGCACAAGTGTCAAATATGTGTTAAAATCTTTAAATGACTTCTTCTGAATAACCATTGATGATATTTGGCCAGTAACATGACAATTATGGGCTATTGATTTCGTTCATACGAATGGGCTATCCTGATAATCAAGGTTATAGAGGTCGAATGGGCTAAACATTTAAATGATGATTTCTTGAATAGCCAAAAGGGCTAGGGTGATGATATTTGACCAGCTTCATGCTAGGATGAAAAGCTGCTAAGTGTGTTTAAATGAATGACATTGATCTACTTTCTATGTCACAGGGGTAAAACATGTTCAAATTCTTAAACGCCTTTTTTCGCAATAACCAAAAGTCACTGGGTGATGTTATTTGGGAGTAATCTAAGGGCTTCCAAGTCTGTTCAACTGAATGACCTTATTAGACTTGCAATGTCACTGGGGTCAAATACATGTCGTACTCTTGTAACATGTTGTTTTGAATAACCAACAGTCATACCATGCAGCTTTATTTAGTCAATTTAAGTATGTTTGACCTTGGTCTACATTTCAGTTATATGCAGGCCCATTGGGCCTCTTGTTGATTAGAAATAACTCTATATGATGCTAAAAGCAGCTATAGACGTATACATTTATTTAATTACGTATGAATATAAATCTCTGCAACACTTTCATTCATATATTTCCCAAGTTTTATCGATTTTGAGTTCGAATTTGTTTAGTTCATGCTTCAAAAACAAAAGTGAAAACGTCAAAAGACCCTCAACTCTCCTCTCAGTACAAAGACATCAAACGATTAGTACAACAACAACTGCGCCAGTCATATTGGCAATATATAGAGGGCATTGTAACACCTGATACTGGTAATCCAAATAATGTCAGCAAGAAATTGTGGACGTATATTAAACACCAGAAGACGGAAGGCACTAATATCAGCCAATTAAAGCAGGATGGGAAACTTCTATCAGACCCCATAGATAAAGCAAATGCTCTTAACAAGCAGTTCCATTCGGTACTCTCCCCTGCAACTGAAATTTCCATTGCAGAATTCCATCAGACACTCCATGTAGATGACAACACTTATCCATCAATTGCTGACCTAAATATTTCAAACAAAGGAGTTCTGAAACTACTGCTAAATCTAAAACCAGGAAAAGCTGCTGGCCCTAATAACTTAAAACCAAGACTACTTAGGAACTCGCATATGAAATAGCCCCCATTCTGACACCGAATCATACAATACTGGCATTGTACCAAATGACTGGAAGACTGCTCATGTAACCCCCTTATAAAAAAAAGGACAACAATATACTCCTGAAAACTACCGTCCTATATCGTTGACATCTGTGTATTACAAGCTTTTTGAACACATTGTAGTAAGTCACATCATGACCCATTCAGATAATCACGACATACTCTACCCTTTGCAACATGGTTTTCGAACATTTAGATCCTGCGAGACCCAATTATTGGAATTTGTTGAAGATATTACTCAAAATTTAGAAGCTGGCAAACAAACCGACGTATTAATATTAGATTTTTCGAAGGCATTTGACAAAGTCAGCCACTCACTTCTTATTCATAAATTAGAACATTACGGAGTAAGAGGGAAAACAAATTGCTGGATAAAAAACTTCCTACTTGGCCGCAAGCAAGCTGTCCATTGTGAAGGGGAAATTTCATCATATATGCCTGTAGAATCTGGGGTAACACAGGGGTCAGTTCTGGGACCAAGTCTCTTCCTGCACTACATAAACGACCTAGCATCAAGCCTACAATCCACTGTAAGATTATTTGCGGACGACACGATAGCTTATCTGACCATATCATGTGATCAGGATGCTAAATGTCTCCAATCTGACCTGGACAAATTAGCTAAATATTTGGGCATTACGTTTAGTTCAGACATGCATTGGGAGAAACATATCACCAACATTTGTAACAAAGCCAACAACACTCTAAGCTTTTTAAGACTAAACCTCAAAATCAGCTCCAAAGGGATTAAAGAACAGGCATACAAATTTTTAGTTAGGCCAACAGTTGAATATGCCAGTACTGTATTGGACCCATATTTAGAACAAGACATCAACAAAATTGAAATGGTCCAGCGGAGAGGAGCTAGATTTACCTTAAATCGCCATGGCAACAGGTCCAGTGTAGGAGATATGTTAGATACTTTAAATTGGCCACTTTTAGAAACCAGATGAAAAAATGCCTGCCTAGCCATGCTTTACAAAATTAAAAACAACCTGGTAGCAATTGACTCTTGATCTACAAACAAACTACTCCCAGCTGGACGTCTACCTAGAAACCAACATGAACAATGCTTCTCCATACCTCACTGCAGAACCCAGTATAAGAAAATGTCCTTTTATCCACGCACTATAGTTGATTGAAACAGCCTCCCGCCAGATATCGCCTACACAAAATCACTAGTGGCCTTCAAATCTGCCATGCTAAACTTTAAAAAACCGTAAAGTAATGTGTGTTTTTAACCTTATCGATTTTTATTAGGTGATTATTTCTAAATTAGAAAAATCACTAGCTGCACATCAGTACACTCCTGTACGGAAAGGGTTCCTAAAGGTGGCCAGTGTTGATATGACCAACACCGAGTAAGAACTCTTCCTCAAACAAACAAAACACTAAATAATCAAACTTCAAATTTCCTTATTATTTACTATAAGTAGTAATCTTCCTCATACTGATTGTCTTATCAAATTATCAATATATACTATTTAATTATGTAACTATTTTATGAATTGAATTGATTTATTTAGATCTAAGGGACCCGATTGGAATTTAGCCACAATGTGCATCCCAGGTAAAGGCCTAAATTAATCTAATCCAATCCAGTTTTAACACCTGACTGACTTCTAATCTTATGGCATAAATAACTTATTTAGAAGATCTCATTCTGTGATAATATATATATATTTATGTCCAATCTGCAAAATGTGATAGAAGTGTATTAACGTTATTTGCCTTTTACCTGAATAAATATTATTATTATTATTATTATTACTATTAACACGGAATTAGATTATCTAAGTCCGTGCTATTAATTATTATTATCATTATTTTTGTTTTTAATTGTACTATTGCGCACGTACAAACCCGTGTCATTATATTCGGCAAGACGAATGAGGACACTTACATAGCAGAAGCAGACGCCATTTTACAATCACATCTAGGCTATCACAAGCATAAAAAGATCAAAGCAATTTCGTCCTCGTGACTCCATCACGAGCTTGGATAAATCTATTTATAGTAACGGGAAACCACAGGAAGCAGTGGAAGATCCTCATTTGCATATTTTACTGTATTCGACCAGCCCAATGGCGGAGTTGGCTAGGCACCTCGTCATGTGTAGGCGGCTGTGATAACGTCAAACAACGATATTTCTGAGTGACTTTTGAAAAGCAGTACTGCAAAATGGTGTTCGAGTCACTGGTTGTTGATTTAATCAACAAATATCTCGGAGATTATGTTGAAAATCTGGACAGATCGCAGCTGAAGCTTGGTATATGGGGAGGTAGGTATCGAGACATCGTGACTCATGTACGTTGTGTTGACAAGTGTTTAAACACATTTCTGTGCTCATTTGTAGCAACTGTTCTTAATTTAGTCAGAGAATTGTGTCAATTTTCTCACGTTAAAATTCTTCCGTCCGCACAGCCCAAGGTAAAAGCAAATTGTACGTGAGGTCCTACTGTAGAGTTAGCTGCTGATGCTGACAGATTGGGGATCGATCTTAACTCCGGACACTCTGAGCACAGGGGTTCGTTGCACATGACATAGCACACCTTAACATACATGAACCCCTGTGCTATGAGGTTTAGATATCGGGAAAGGCCTGAAGGGTCATTCTAATTGTCCAAGTTACGGGGGCTGGACTAGCCTAGTGAATTATCCCTTGTTTGAGAGAACTTTATTTACAGGGATAAATATGTCTGGTACATGCTAACGTTAGCGCAGGCAAATTCGCCATACACCCAAATTCGCCACCCTGTGACAAAAATGACATATGACGTCATAATACATAAGATGTGACATAAATAATGTCACCATAGTCTTCAACACAGTTAAAGCCTTCAAATATTTTGACAGGAAGATCATATAAAAAGGGATTTTTTTTTATTATTAATCAAAACAGTTATGAGATATCTTGTAACACAACGAATCTTAAAAATTTGGTCTGTGCGACGAACATCTCGTCAACTTAACTCATTAATCTAAGGCCTGTTGGTAGTTATTTAGTTTAAATTCATTACATATACACATCGGCAAACCCATATATATCTCAACGCTAATATTGTAGTAAATGGTCGACTGATCATGAGCCGTCAGTGCAAGTTAATTGTTTTTCTACAAGTGTACTTTGGTACATACAATGTACTGAAGAGCCAATTAATGCTTGTTTGTGGAAATGACGCTCGGAAAGATTTGATAATTCATTTTCCATTTTCATGCAATGCATATTTAGAATACAATCAACCGGTATCTTTTTAAAAGTATTGTTTCGTCTAAAATTCAACCATCTTACAACATTTAAATCAAAATACCATCTAGAAAAGAATTTGTTGTCGGCCGGGAGGTACTGCTGTACAATCGCATGCTGATTGTACGTAGAGACTGACAGTTACCAAAGACTGATTTTTACATGAAAAGGTAAGCACATTTACAACACCTGGCCAGGCAGTCTTTCTTGAATAAGTTTTTATGCCCAAAATATTCCCATTGACGTGCAAGACGATCGGAGATGTGCATGCGACAAATTATCAAAAAGTCGGGGTGGGGGGGGCGATCGTTGAAAAGTCCTGGACCCTCTCATCCGTACCCGATAAAATATGAATGATATTGGGCAGCGATTTGGAAGTTTATATTTGTGCAGGACTGAGTCATTATTGCGTATCATGTAAATTGACATCATCTTAGCCGATACCTGCAGCCATCTTTCTCAAACAGCATTAATCAGTATCTTCAAGTTACCGAAAATTAACTTTTACAACCAGAGACGTGTAATATACGTCTCTGTTACAATTAAGAAAAGCCAGGTATTTCAATGTTTATCTTTGTTACACACACACACATTTGGAGCTGTTCGTATCAGTACGACTTGTGTAACATAAACATACAAAAAAATACATTTAAACACTTAGATTACTTGTTAATTTGTAAAAAAATTAAAGGTGACGAATCTGCCTGCACCTTTGAATAAAACCACTGAAGGCCTGATGACGTCCCAAATGTTGCTGCGTGACGTCATTCAGGCTTGTTTACAACAATGTTTTTTTATAGGCAAATCAGTCAAATCTTCTTCTGTATTGGTGCTCGTCGGCATTTTGATACATGCATATTTGGTCGAATTATTAACAGAAACCCTTACTAATGTGACGAATTGGCCTTCACTGACGTTATAGAGAAAGAATCCCCCTTCAACTTTCCTCCACTTGCCACAGTTAATGTGTTTTCATAAAGAAGGGAGGACCTATTGTATAAAGAGCAATATCCCACTTCAGAAGTGTCAGTTGATACGCTATATATAGGCCTAGATACGCTATATATAGGCCTAGATATGCTATATATAGGCCTAGATATGCTATATATAGGCCTAGATATGCTATATATAGGCCTAGATA